TGGAGTAGGTTAAAGAGAGAAGGAGAATATGATTTGTTCAAATTCACCCACTTGAGCTTTATGAAAAGCAGGAATTTTAGTCTGTATTCTCTGACACCCTTAGAAAACAGAAGAATTAGTAAGTGATAAGGCAATTATATGCCCTGTCTCATGGGACTAGCCATGTTACATGCAAATTTCTGTAGTGAAGCCTTGACTTTTTTATTTTTTGAACTAAAGAAAAACAGTTTGAGAGAAGAATTTAGAGGCAAGAAATAGCAGGAAGATTGTGTGCTTTATCTCTTTCTTGCCTGCCACTTCTGCATTTTCCATTGCTTTCTGCCAAAGTAGCCATTCTTTATGTTATTTTTAAAACAGTTTCCTTTGGATTTTAAAATGTTTTTGAGTTCTGTTACATGTGTTTGTATATAATATGTAGCTATTCCTAGTAATGTTGTGGGAAGAGCCAACTGTTGTTAACAGTAAACTAGAGAAAGTTTGCCCTAAAGACGATGGCCAAAATCCTGTTGCTGATTCACATTTGTGTAAGAGAATTTGTAAGAGAAGACCTCCAACAACTCATAAATCGATTCAGTTGCTGCTCATTAGCAAAGCACTGATCACATTTGTGAGGTTGTGTCTGATTGCACAACCAGAACCTTGTTAACGAGTGGCAATTTGCTGCTGAGATCCCAGCATTTTCCTTTATACAAAGAAAAAACTGGCAAGAGGACGCTGGCCACTATTTCTTCTACCATGCATAACCATAGAGCCAAAACTAGAAATATAGTCCAATACAGGATTAAAGGACATGTGAGAACCCGGTGTGAAATCATAGTCTGTGCACTTGAAAATGTCTGAGGGTACATGCTTTTGGGGTTTGATGAGTTTCTCGACTTACGAACTTAATCCATATTGGAAGGCGGTTCTCAGGTCAAAAAGTTCGTAAGTCGAATCTGCATTTCCCATAGGAATGCATTGAAAACCATTTAATCTGTATCTGCTCTTTTCCGTCCATAGAAACTAATGGGAAGCTGCTATTCCGCCTTCTGCCACTAGAGTGGGATATTTTTTCTTTTTTCCTTTTAACCTAAGATGACTTAGATTTTTTTAAAAAGGAAAGAAAAGAGTTTGTAACTCGAATCTAAGTTCGCAAGTCGAGTCCATATATTCCTATGAGAGCGGTTTGTAAGTCAAAAAGTTCATATGTAGAACCATTCGTATGTCGAGACCCCACTGTAATACAGCAAGACTTTCAGAAAGCATAGGGTTCCCTATTTTCTTCTAGTGTTGCCCAACTTTCCAGTGCATACTTGTAGGTGAAGCTGGGATTCTAATCTGTGCTAAGATTAGAATGAGCATGTGATCACTATCCTGAATAAATGCAGAACAGAAGGTTTTAGCCTTGTTTTGGTGGAACTACTCGTCATCCTTCCTACAATGTCTTCATTCATTCAGATATCCAACTTATTGATTGACCCTGTTCCATTGTCATCCTTGAACTGAGGAATCTCAAGATGAAAATGTCACATGGGATTGGTTTAATGCCCATCACAGCCATGGAGGGGTGGGAGGGCAGATGCAATGTTAATATTTGTTCAGGGCTGAGAAATGTGTGGCCCTCCAGATGGTACTGGACAACAATTCCCGCCTTTCATCACTATTGGCTGTGCTGCCCTAGGCTGGTTGGGGCTGCAGTATTATAACACCTGGAATGCCACATATTCCTTGTCACTGATTTAGTTCTTCCTAAATTCTTATTGCCTGACCTACTTCTTTTCCGTCTCTTCCCCTCCATGATGCTATTCTGAAGCAAGGTTGGAGAACTGTGGTTTTTTATTATTATTTTATTTCATACGAGCGGACTTCTCAAAATCTTTTGTGCAATCCACATTGTTCATCTCAAGGGAAAGCTTATGATCTTGAAAGCTGAGAACCGCAACATGAATTAGAATCCTGACCTTCTTTTCCCTTTGCTGTCATACCAGTTTCAGTTCTCTCTGCAGAAAACACTTTGTAGTTTGGGGAAAACAGCAAAGTCACACCTGATGGAAAGTTAAGTTTTTAAACTAGGTGAAGTACAGAAAAAGAACTTGTTGCCAGTCTTTGCAAAATAGCTGCTTATCTGTAAAGATACTTTTGTGATGAGAAGAAGAGACCATAAAATGGGCTAAAGAGGAAGTAGATTGGAGGAATTTGTGGGACTCAGATGGGCAGGCAGTGGGTGGACAATCAGGGAGGTGATCGAGAAGGGGGGACACACGAGTGATTCTGCTGCTGGGGGGTGGTGGTTGAATGGGCCCCAGGGGAAGAGGCAAGCATGGTGCTTTAATATTTTTTAATTCCTGCTATCTGGTATAGCACTGTATTAGATAGTAGGATTATTACTATTTATTTTTTTAAGCAGCAGGGGCATACCACACATGTATGTGCCAGGGGAGCGCATTTTTCTGTTTCTCTGGCAGAGGTCCATTATTTTGAGGCCAATGAGGAATCAGTTCATTGGATTCTATTTATGTTTGTCCTGTCAAACATTATTTTCAAGCTGTAAGAAAAGCAGAAAAATGTGCTTCCCTGGGACAATAGTCCACACATGCGTGTGCCTAAAATCTGAACTGAGTTGTTTTCAGCCCAACACGATAAAAAAGAGGGATTTAAAAAAAATCACTGGGACTAAGCTCTAATTCTGGGAAGGAAGCAGAGAAAAGGAAAACAGGCGAAGGATGGGTCACAAGAGGTACCTGTGTTCAGCTAAAAACAACAAGGAGACTTGTGGCACCTGAAAAACTAGAAAGGTTAATTTTACATAAATTTACATGGATTATATATTTAAAGAGCTTTTTTCATTCTGCTGAAACAGACAGATGTGGCAACTCTCCGTTGACTTTTTTTAAAAAAAGTTATTTATTTTCATTGTAACTGTTTACAATACCAGAACCAGGGGACATCCACTCCAATTGAGAGTTGGGAGAGTGAGAACAGAGTAAAGAAAATATTTCTTTACCCAGCATGTTGTTAATCTGTGGAACTCCTTGCCACAGGATGTGGTGATGGCGTCTGGCCTAGATACCTTTAAAAGTGGATTGGACAGATTCCTGGAGGAAAAGTCCATCGCAGGTTACAAGCCATGATGGGGATGTATAATCTCCAAGCTTCAAAGAAAGGTACCTCAAAATGCCAGATACAGGGAAGGGGTATCAGGAGACAGGTATCTAGTTGTCTCGTGTGCTCCCAGAGGCATCTAGTGGGGCCACTGTGAGATACAGGAAGCTGAACTAGATGGTCCCTTGGCCTGATCCAGCAGGGCTCTTCTTATGTAGCTTAGTTCTAGAAACTGGATTTTTTCCCCACTTGATTAGGTAGGGAGGTTCATGACAAAAGAAGAAATAAAAATACTGGTGAGCCATTTTATGATTTCCTGAATCAGGACAATTGATTGTGGATCAATATGGTAAACGTGATGTCATTTTTAAAATGAGGAATTGTTTTTAATCACAAGACCAAATGCATGGCTCTCTGATTCTGTGTATAATAGCAGAATCTGCAGGAGCTGATTCATTAAATTCCATAGTGCCTTAATTTAAGATTTATTTATTTTACTGTATATGATGGAGAATCATTCTTGCCAGGTAATAGGCGTTTCTTCCTCATAGTTCATGCACATCTGGTAATTTCTCTTGGCAATGTAGCTATTTTCATTATTCCCTGCTAATTCACCAGATCATTCTGAACTAAAGCTTAGTCTTTGTGTTAGAATACCTTTCAAATCCAGACGCACACATTCATTGCCTCCCAGTGGTGGAAGATCATGTATGTTTGCTTTTCTTGATTAAGGAAGATGGATGAATTAAAATTAAAAAAACAAACATTGTTTTCACCTGGCTGAAACAGGGAAACCTTTTTACATTTCTCCATCTGTTAGAGATGTCTGTATTGTATTTAAAGGGTCTGATTAATTATTAACTTTTCTGGGAAGAGTTTTCAGAGAATATAGTGGTGCCTCGCCACGACTGTAATAGATTTGGGAAGTGCTTAATACTGATTGCTTGGACATTCAGATTGATAACTACAGAGAAGTAGTGCATTCTGATGGATCTATACAACTGTTTCTGATTAGCAGATAGTTTTTTTTGCTCACATTACATGCTTGAATAGGTATTTCCCCAAAGGCCTTGTTTTCATTATTATGCATTTGGATTGGTATTTCCCAGTGAGCCAAGTTATGTTCACTCTATATTCATTCTGGAGTTTATGCCATACATAACATATTTCTGCTAAAGATGGACATGAACCACCAAAATGGTTCAGCTGGGAGGCGAGTACATATATATAAAAATTATATATAATTTTTTATATAAAATTAATTACAGTGGTGCCTCACTTAACGATGATAATTGGTTTCCAAAAAATCGCTGTTAAGCAATTTCATCGCTAAGCGAAACACGGTTCCCCAATTGAAATGCACTGAAACCTATTCAATGCATCTCAATGGGGGAAGAAAATTACAACAAATTTAAAAAGAGTCGTAACAAAGTCAAATTAGTTTAACAAAGGGTTTATTAAGTGCACTTAGGATTTCAAGCATTCTAAACATTTTTTAAACATTTTTAAACATTTAAAAAACAACCAACATGAGGCTGTCAAAACCATTGTTAAGCGAAACAGGGGGACCCAAATTGTCATCGCTATGCGAAGCATGGTCCCAAACATCGCTATGCAAAAATCGCCCATAGGAACCATCGTTAAACGGAGTGCAATATCGCTCCGAAAAGTCATCTCTAAGCGATTTCGTTAAACAAAGCAATCGCTAAGCGAG